AGTCTTTCAGAATCAAGAATATACTCAGCAGTCAAGACCTTAAATAGTCAATTAAGCAAAAATTGGATTATGGATTATTTATTTATGAGGTTTTCCTAAAATATTACCACATCCGTCGCAAACAATTCTTACCCCTTACCTTTTTGGAGCGTCCCAAAAATTCTTCGCGTTTCCCTTTATGGAATGATTTGTGTGACTAACATTCATTTACATTTTTTACTCAACCACAACCATATATTTCTACTTTATCCCACTTTCTTAATTAGCATGCCAAATCAAAATGGGAAGAACTTTTGGGACGGATGGAGTACTAAAGTTAAGCTTATTTAACATAAATATGACTATCACCATACTCACTCTCATAAATACCATTATCACCACAAGTTAGAATAATACATTACCACGGTCACTAAAGTTAATGTGAGAATTCAATTATAATCATTGAACAACATAAGCCACATTCTTATACAGTACTTTTATTTTGATAAGCCACATTCTTTTACATTACTTTATTTTAATTTAACCATATATTTCAATATTTATCATTATTTATTTATTCATTAGTGAGCATAATAATGTTGTTGCAAATATGCCATGATGAAATGATATTTTATAGGAGCTATTCCAGGTGCTCTCACTAATTAGTGAACTAGTCTTAGAGGGTGTTGATAGCCTGCAAAATAATTACCTTGCATGTGTAAAAAAGTTGTGATGATTTAATGTAAAATTGTAGGATATGTTTTTAAACATTTTGTAAGGTACCATGTTTTAAACCGGGGAGGTGGTAAAATACTTTAAAGTTTTTTATAAAGCACAACAATTTTACATGTAGTTCAAAAAAAATCTAGCCAAATAATATAGTTTTAGTTTACATACAAGTAATTGTTTTCTTAAACCTTACAGTTACAATTGTTTACCATTCCAGGAGTAAAATGGTTTCTACCAAACTAGTCCTTGGTGTTTCCATCACTACTGGCAATGTGGTAATATTTAGAAACACAATCGGATTATAACATTCACATCATCACACTATCCACATTTCTTACTTAGTCTACAGGAATAAAAATTAGACACTGAAAAACTGGAATCTACCTTGGAGCTTGTTGGAACCTTGAATATATAAATGCTTGAATTGAAATGGGGGGAAGGTAATTGGACACGGCGGGTGAGCTCCACGGCGGCTCGGACAGGCGGTGCCTTTGTGGGCCGTGCTGCTGAGGCTGCAGTGACGTAGCGGAACTAGTGGGAGATTTCCAACGATAACCGCCAGTTGTAGGTGTTACGGCTTATCTAGTTATCTCAGAGATAGCAAACAAGAGGCTGCAATTATTAAACCATTTGCTACAAAGGTCTTACAAAATGATCTTCTTTTTCTATTCTAACCTTCAATTTAGTTACTCCATACCGGTTAAAGTTGGAAGCGGATGTCAAGTAATTATTTTGAAGTGTAGGAATGTTTAATGAATCGACAATGACGTGCTAAACCATTTAAACGTAATGTACATCATGTGATTTAAATTAACTGCGTTAATTATGTCTAAGATTGGATCTATTACAAAATATGAGGGCAAACTTATTTAAGTAGAGAAGAAAGTGTGATCAAATAGCTAAGTTTGAGCTAGATCAATATGCAATGTGATATATGTTCATGGTTTATGTTATTATGTCCCCAAATAACTTTAGTTTCAAATTCGCCATTGTATACCATTTAAAGTTTTTTACGAGAATGATAAAATACTTTATTGCTTTTTACAAAAAAAAACCTTTCAATGTCTTTACATGTAACTTAAAATAATTAAATTATAAGTCTAGCCAAATAATGTAATCTATTTTATATGCAAAATGATTACATGCATAAAATTTGCATGCAATCATTTCACGTATAAAAATTTAATGTGTAAACTACCACACGAACCCTTAAAATATTTATCTGATTTATAGTAAAATTATTTATAATTATATACTTTTATTTTACAACCTTTGTTACATTATTTTGTTCAAAAAAAAACATTTGTTATATTATTATCTCGATAACATTTATTCAAATAAGTTATTCAAGCATAACACACATTTTTATGTTGTGGTTTAATATAATATTCTAGCAGTTTGTAGTCTTAGCTTGATTTACAATAAGAGCAAACAGGGGCAGATCCGGGATTTGATGATGAGGTGGGCTAGGGCGGAGGTAGAGGGGAGCCAACCAGACCGAGTCCACCCCAAATTTGAAAATTCTTTGTGTTTTTAGTGTATAAGTTTATGGGTAAAAATTTATTTGAAAAAAATCTTTGTACCGGCCTCACCCTAACCTTCGATCCTGGTTACGCCTATGGGGTGGGCCGAAACATTTAAATGATAACACATTGAAAATTTCAAAATAAACAAAAAATCAAATATAAGAGTATTCCACTAAATCTGTCCTGGATGAGGCTTTGAAACAAAAAACTCATCAACAATAGTCTACATCTATACTAAGACTAAGGTTTCTCTCAATATAAAGTGTCATGCAATCAGCAAGAAAGTCATATGTCATTTTCTTGGGGAGTGTTGTCTTTAGAAGTTTCATGGCAGAAAATGATCGTTCTGCTGTTGCAGTAGAAACATGTAAGATCACTACAAGGCGAATTAATTTGCTCATCATAACAAATGAATTAGATCTTCTATTCTAAGTCCATTCCTTACATAATTCAACAACTATAGATACTTGAAACTTTGTATCACGAATCACACATCATGAACATAGTGTTGCAGCTTGTATTCCAAAGCACGAATTTCATGACAACTAAAATCGTCATGATAGAACTTCATTGCAAAAGTACAAATAACACCAGCATTGAATGACTCATATGAATTTTTAGGATCCAACGAAGCACTCAAAGAAAGGAGTTCCACTGAATTTCGTGTTTTGATCAAAACTCATTTACTTCTTCAAGGAAGTCTCCCCATCCATTTTCTCTCAATTACTCGAGAATGAGTTGTGTAGTAGAAACATGGCTCATAGCTACCAAGATATGCAATGATTTTTTTTGAAAATACTCGTTATACCCACAACTTTGTGCATCAAACGTATATTGAACACAATTAAAATTCAAAACATGCAAGGTGTCTATAAACACCATGAACTTCTGCCTGATGACTCAGTTTTGGACAATGTTCTTGAAGATATTCAAGCACTTTGTGAGTTGTCGTGAACATGTCAATCAGGCTATTAATTTAAACATAATGGGAACTCCAACGCATTGCAAATTACCAGTTTGATTGGCTCCACTTCTATATTCACGCTCTCCTGTTCCCAATTTTTTGTTTGCTACACTTTTTTTTATACTTGGTATATTTTAATTCTTGCTACATTTTCATTTTTAGTAAATTTTCCATAAACATACCCAATTATGACTACTCTTTCTACATTTAATTTCTCTTTAATTACATATATATGACTAAAATAAACATGATTTACAAAAATGCGATCTTATATGTATAATGACCAGAGTAGTAACTTATATTCAATAGTTATTCTCAAATTATTATGCGATTTACACCATAATAAATATTAATCATGTTTTTATAAGAAATAATTACATAAATATGACTAAAATAAAGATGATTTGCAAAAATGTGATTAGTGACTAGAGTAGTAATGAAGTCATAGTAATTCCTATTCAATTTTTAAACTCAAATTTTCATGACACTACATTGTGGTAACTATTTGTAATATTTGTGTAAATAAGTTTTATTTTAGTAATATTTTTGTACAAACCCTTTCTATAAATATTACCCAAACCCTTGATTTGGGTAATATTTTTTAAAAAACCTTTTAAATAAGATTGTTTTCCTTAAAACGACTCATGACAACCGCCGTCCCTCGAACCAGACTCAGAGTTTATCATCTTAACAATATAACTCGTTGATCCATTAATGGGCACAAATGAGAAAGACAGTTACCACAATCGTACCATACCCACATCCAAATCCAAAACCATAGTTTTACAACCGAAAGAGATTAAAAACAGACAAATTTAGACCATTAAAATAAATAAAAGCAAAAAAATAAATTTCTTCACTCAACCTTCCAAGAACCAACATCTTCCAAATCCTTGGCGCTGACCTTCGCAACGTTGAAGTTGGCGGACTTACCCTTCTAAGCCCGCCTCCTCCTCGTTTTTTGTCCCATCCGGTGCCATACTATCTCCCACCTGGTTCCCGTTTTTAGCCGCCTCTCAGATGCGCTTGCGTTTTTGTTCCCCCGATGTCTCCCCATTATCTCCCAAGACCACATCTTTGGTCGAGCTACTCATTGAACCTGCCGTGTAATCCTTCCCTCCTCCTCACATCCTTCCATCCGATTTGTTATCCTCCTTGTTCTGAGGATCCCGGCTCGAGCTTGAGGACCCGTCCACTAGCCATTTACTCCCTGTTGTGTGACTAGTCTTCACCCCACTACCAGCTCTGAGTTGTACTCCATACCTTTTCTCTAGCACGAAATCTTCTTCATACGCCAACGGACAGAACTTCTCCGAGTGACCTATGATTCCGCAGACAAAACAAAAATTTGGCTGGCTCATACTTAAAATCCACCCAATGCCTGATACCCCCTATCTTGAAAGTAGTGCCCTTAAATATTACTAATAAAAAAAGTCATGGAATAAAATAATACTTAGTACTCCCTCCGTCCCTGAATTTACTTCCAATTGCGGGTTATGAAGTTTGACCAACGATAAAGTTAAATGATCCCTGTGAAAACTCAGATTATTTTTAGTAAATAAAATTTACATATTCAGAAACTACATTAAAACCGCTACAAAGCCTGCAATGGAAGTAAATTGAGGGACAAAGGGAGTAACTATTAGTGACTATAATTGTGTTTAAACTTCAAGATAATTATATGTAAGTTACTACGATGTAAATTTTGAACACAATTATAACCACTAAAAGTTAATAAGTACTAGTAATATTTTTGTCCACCACATTCGCCACATTTTGAATAATAGTACTCCGTATTGATGAATTTTTTCTTTAAATAAATACGTCTAGTTACAGGTGGGCACATGGGTTTTCAGTTCGGTTTCATACTATCAAATTCAATCGGTTCCGTTCGTTAATAAGTACGAAATAGACTTTTATTTATGTATGAGGCGGTTTGAAAGAATCATATTGCTTACTTAAACTGAGTTAAACGCATTACGTTGCAGTGTTTTCAGCTTTGCAATCGAATTCGGAGGAAGATCGAAAGAAGTAGGAGAGAGAGGTCAAGCAGCAATGGGAAACGCTTATTGTTTGTTATGCGGCTGCATACCACAGGCGAGCGTCGGCGTGGTGGAGAAATGGGGTCGGTTCGAGAAATTGGCTGAGCCGGGGCTACACTTCTTCAATCCTTTTGCCGGTCAGTGCCTCGCCGGGACTCTCACCACCAGGATCTGCTCTCTAGACGTCAACATCGAAACCAAAACCAAGGCATGATTGCACCTCTCAGCTCGCCAATTATCCATTTTTTTCCCCTTTAATATGTTGTTTTGCTTGAAAAGGTCTTTTGGGAAATGTCAAACATTTCATGTTCCTGATGAGAGCTAAATATAATAGACTTGCGGAGTATTTTGTTTCTTTTTAAGGCGAAATCATTACAATAAGTTGGATGAGCTTTTTGAAAATTTTATATTCAGGACTAAAGGTTCTTTTTAGAGCATTTTTGTATAGATTAGTATAAGTATTTGTTCATGTATATACGACGTATATAAAGGTATGCCCGCAAATGAAATCTGGGGGCCGAGCCTCCATAACTACACCACTACTTAGGGATAGAATATACCTGAGAATATGATGTTTTACCTCAATAAATGGTATGCTGTGATGTCTATTTATATGAATTTATGGAAAGTGCATCTGAATGATTAGCTGTTAAGGAAATCTGGAAATAACATAAATATCAATATGTCATGATAACTGAATATTAATATAATTTAAGGAAAGAATGGCTGCTAGATTCATGGTTTCCGTGGTAGCTATGTAGCTTGTTCTTATCATCATCATCATGATCATCATTTGCAAATATTGCGAGTAGCATTCAATTTGAACTCTATTTTATATGAAAGTAAAAAAATTGTACTTTTGGCTGGTGGATCTTTATTTGTTTCACAAATGTTCAGGATAATGTCTTTGTTCACATGCATTGCTCCATCCAATATCGAGTAATCAATGCAAATGCTGATGATGCTTTCTACGAGCTGCAAAATCCCAAAGAGCAGATCACATCTTATGTATTTGATGGTAACTTTTCATCAGTCAGTCGATCAGAATCTATACCAAGCAGAATATTCTGACCATTTCTTTTTATTTATTGTCATACTATTCTCTTTAAATATTTGATTATTCAATTGAAGTTGTTCGAGCCCATGTTCCTAAACTTAATCTGGATGAGCTTTTTGAACAAAAAGATGAGGTTGCCAAGGCTGTCTTGGAGGAACTTGAAAAGGTATATTGATGATATCATTTCAACCTGAGTTGTTTCATACCTATATAGATGATAAAATAAGGGTTTCACTCCTAATCATTCTCTCCTCCTGTCCTACATATTTTTACCAAAAAGTGTCTACTCTTACATTTTTATATATACAATTCCTACATTTCAAATTCTAGATCTGAGTGATTGAGCTTATAATATATATGTACTTTTCTATACAAGTATACTCATTCTATTTATTATTCAGTGTACATCATTAGCCTAATTAGAGTATGTTTAGTTACTGGCTTACTGCATGATTGAAAATGTAGGTGACAATTGTAAGCAAATAAAATGTTGGTTCAAACATAAGAAAGCATCTTTCATGGGCATTTTATTTCCGATTCCTTGCATTTTTTTTGTGATCCAAACATAGCCAAAGTTTTCACTTGAATGGCACACTAATAAAAAAAAAAATTGTGCCAAAGTTTTTTGTGCTATTCAAAGTTTTTTTTTGAATGGCACACTAATGTACTGACATAGTGACATGATGTCATGATGATGCCCACACTTGATAACCCCTAAGTTATTTTGTTCTATACTTGACTACTTGCTGATATATTTTGATTTTTTTAACTCTTAATAAGAAAATGTGTATTTGAGGTACATCAAATGAATATTTATCTTATGGTGCATTACAACATTTCCCTTCAGGTGATGAGCTCTTATGGTTACAGCATCGAGCACATACTGATAGTTGACATTGTCCCTGATGCATCCGTCCGCAAAGCAATGAATGAGATTAATGCAGGTAAATTTTGCTTTCTAAGTTTTGTGAAGGAAATGGAGTGTAGTAAATATAAATACAACAAGCAAGATAAATACAAAATATTGAACATTTTTATTAAAGTACTTCATCTATCCCAAAATTTGGTGTTGCCCATTATAAGCATCTCATTTTATTTAAAGGAAAAAATGTGAGTGTTATTATTTATGTAATTTCTAATTGCATATCCACCAGACAATTTCATTTTTTATTTTGCATGACAAAAGGGAATGGGAAGTTAATTTTGGTACAGAAGAAATATTGATAATCAATTCATCATTATATATAATTCTGGGATATAAGTTGCACAGTATTTGAAACATTTCTGCCTTTCTGGGCAATCGTCGAGGTGAAGTTGAAATGCATGTATAAGTTTTAATCAAATGGTATACAACTATACATGATGCTTCTGAATAAGGATATATTTAGTGTTGGAAGACAAAAAGAAAAACTAATCCTAATATTGTCCCTTGGTGCAAATGTTCAGCTCTCCGTTTATGATTTATGAGAGTACCATGATTATGGCACAATTGTGATAATGGAAATGCACTTCGCATAATATGTAGTCCCTCATGTCTCATCTTAGACTTTATATAGTAGTAACTTTAGGTTGGCCCATTTTACTTTTCAGTTAGATAATTAAAGGGGTAATGATCTTCAATATGGTGTATATTAGCACAAAGGATGCAGCTTGCTAGTGTGTACAAAGGGGAAGCAGAAAAGATTCTCCAGGTTAAGAGGGCAGAAGCTGAAGCTGAATCCAAGTACCTAGGTGGGGTCGGGGTTGCTAGACAAAGGCAAGCAATCACAGATGGCTTAAGAGAGAACATATTGAACTTCTCTCACAAAGTTGAAGGCACATCAGCTAAAGAAGTGATGGATCTCATAATGATCACTCAATACTTTGACACCATCAAAGACCTTGGGAATTCTTCAAAGAACACCACCGTTTTCCTGCCGCATGGTCCAGGTCATGTTCGCGACATTGGCGACCAGATACGCAATGGGATGATGGAGGCAGCTGCTGGTGCACATGCCGATTCATAAGTTATTACTTTCCTATGGAATCTCTTTCCCGTCGATTCTAATACATTAGCAAAATAAAGTCAAGGACAAGTTTCTTAATGTTGTATAGGACCTTAAATGAATGTTTTTTTGTATACCTTTCTAAACATATTATACGTAATACATGTTATAATATTTCTTCAAGATAATCTCAATATTTTTAATTGGGATGAAACTGGAATCTTCGATCTCATCTTCTAGTGATGTTATCAACCTTAAATGAATGTTGGGACCTTAATGCCGGAAAGCCTTTGATTGATGTATCTGTTTACATTTTTTTCAGAGGTAAGGGTCAGATTGGTACTCGAAGTTGCATAAAAAGGGTCAAATAAGTTCTTATTGTCCGACTGTCTCCATTTGAGGCGGTTCCCGATGAAATTTTTTGATGAAATTTTTTGAGCATCTTATTCATTAAGTCTAGTTTACTTATACCAAATTTCATCTAAAACTTCAATCGAGAAGGCATTGAAATAAATTCTTGAAGATAACTGCGTTTTTAACTGCGCAGTTATCTTCAAGAATTCATTTGAATGCCTTCCCGGTTAAATTTTTAGCCGAAATTTGGTATGAGTAAACTAGACTTAATGAATAAGATGCTCAAAATATTTTGTCAAAAAATTTCACCGGGAACCGCCCCAAATGGCGACGGCCTGACAGAACCGCCTATATAAAGACTTATTTGATCTTTTTTATGCAACTTCAAGTACCAATCTGACATTTGCCTTCATTTTTTTCATTTATTGTTTCCCCCAACCATATATAGAAATAGATATTAAATCGGATGTGTCAATAACGATATAGATCATACTACTACTAGAATAACGTGTTATACCTCATATAATAAAAATAGGTCAAAATCTATCTAATACATAAAAGCAGAACAATTTTTTCCCGCTCAAGTGCGAATCCACTTCAACCGTACGATCCAAAAAATAGATCCACGGCTCTGAGATAACACCTTTCATCGTTTCATTGCCTTTCTCCGTCATCTTCTCTCACTCACCTCAGACCGCCTTTCACTCCATTTCATCATCGTCTCTCAACAACAACTCTTCTTCTTAGCTGTTCGAAGCCATTCTTCTTCTAATTTGCTTATTGACTCCATGTATGATTCTAAATTAGATTCGTGACAATCTTATCCGTTCTTTTCCTTTTTTATCAGCATTAAGAATTGTCACCAAAATCTTCCACACAAACTTCGCATCTAAAACACAAACTTTTCTGCTCCCGTTCAATTTGTAAGGGTTATGTCCGAAGCTAAAACAAGAGACAAGGCAATACGAGCAGTGAATTGAAGCTAAAACACTCAAGCTAGTGGTAAGTACTACTTTCCGTAGCACTCTCTCCTTATCAATTTATTCAATAAATCCAAAATTGAAGGGAAAAAACAACGCCCATTCCTTCGGATTCATAATTTTTGGGATTGGTATGTTATAAGCTCAGACTGTTTTACTTCAGATTTACAATTTTTGGGATTGGGGTGAGCCTTCAGACCAATTCAATTTTGATATATTATTCTAACAGGGTACATTAGTCCAAGATACAATCATACAATTCCAATCCAACTTCTAAATTTAAATAAACCTGAAGATCACTTCAGGTCAAGGTAAATGGTGAAATAAATGAAGGCCTGCAGCCCATGAGTTCAACTTTGAATTTAAAGCAGTTTTAGTTGGAAGGAGTCTGTAGCCCAAGGTAATTCCATGTTTTTTTACTTATCAGTTATCACCGCGTATATACTTTCTGAGGGCAATTAAAATAAAATTTGGAGTTTTTTGACTTTTATATATCAGGGTAGAGAATGATATAGACCAAGCTTGAGAATGAGACAATGTTCGTAAATATAAGAATTTCAGACTTATCATCTAAAATTATAAACTTGGATTAATGCTATTTTAAAAGACAAAGAAAGATCACCTAAGCTTTTTATCAAATACGGCATACGTAGAATACATATGATGGAAGTTTTGTTCAAGCCGGTCCAGTTGGCATGCTTGAATGGAATGGAGTTGGTAAGAATTTAGTCATTCACTGGTAATTGAATGGAGCAGAGTGGGTAAGAATAGTCTTTAGACACAAAGATGAACATGGTCGCCTGGTGGGTATAATTACTTTGTATGACAAGGCACCGGCACTGACTGTCGATGCTCAAGTTGCGGATTCCCACTGGCTCTGGTCGGAAGCAGTCTCTCAAGACCTATTGGCTTCCAGATTTCTCCATTTATGCCCTTCCTTTTCTCCACCACCATTTACTTCAATCGAGTAGAGATATAACATGAAGTAAGAATATAACTTATATTTTAGTTATTTTCTCTCAAACTTCATTTATATGCTCAAGGTATATGTCAATATAAAGGAAAAAGGTTTGGTTAATCCATTTTAGGAATCTAGCAATTGTACTTCTAAACTGAATGATAGAATGATTTCTGATCCATTCTTGGACCAATATTTTCAATTATAAACTAAATGATATTAGAATGATGAAATTTAAAATGATGTTAGAATGACAAATTTGGAATGATCAAATTAAAACAAGTTTTGAACTAAATGATAGAATGACAATATGAAGTAAAGTTGTTTCCCAGAATACTAATTTATGATTTCTCTAGCTGGAACATGTATAGTATTGTTTCTTTAGCTGCAACATGAATTTAGTTGCTATTGATTTCAACAGGAATATGTTATCACTACCCTTGAGAGGATAATGCATGCCGTAGGGCTTCAAGGATGCAAACACATTTGAAATTGCTCATAGGGAACTAAGGTATGATTATATGGGCTATACTTCAAGATAAGGATGATTTAGTTCTTTTAATGCAATCTGAAATGGCTACTGTTCTCTTCTCTGGTGTGACCAATATTAGTGAACTTTAAGCATCAGTTTAAGGATAAGAACTCATTTAGCCGCTTTTTATTTTTAAATGGACTAGACTCATACTTGAGTTTTCTATAAAGAAGAGCTGCAATACTTCATGATATCATGAAGTACAAGTAATATTTAACACAAATAGAAATTATACTTCTCTAAGGGAGTTAGTTAGCTAGAGATAAGGAGTTATACAAGGGATAGAATTTGAACCTATCTACACACGGCTAAGCTTCTAACAACCAAATGGCACATGATGATATTCATGTTCAATCCTGGAATCCTAATCTTCATTTTTTTCTTACTGCCTCATGGTCACTGCAAAATTAAGTAATGATTTTTTGAATTTTAAATTAGGGCAAGTTTGACTTCCTATGAACACTCTGATATCACTTGGTGTGTGATTTGATAAAGAAAAAATTACCTTGCCTGTGAAGTCCCTGTGGGGTAATATTTGTTGTGTCTATGAGATAATGGGAATGCATATATTTGGTTTGAAGCATATCCGTTGATCCTGCCACATGTTATAAGCAAAGGTCATGTTTACTAAGCTTAATTACTTTTAAGTTCTTTGATCTAATTAACTATAAGAATGCTGTTTATTTGAAAAACTATTTAGGTTGATTAGAATGATTGACTTATTGCATCCCGCTCTTAAGTTGTTTTTTCATTTATTTTGAAATATTAGTACACTCCATGTTCCAAGAGGTTTACCAGATTATACAGGAGATCATTGTCAATAATAGAATAATTTTTTTGGAATATATCGCTTGGTGAACTGTTTTGATATCCAATTATAATTAAAGTCTTTACTAATCACCCTGGTGGTAAACAGGAACTTCATGACAAACAAATCCAAACACAGTTACACATACCACACATCACATTGTATATACGTACTCAATGATCATCCTTAGAAATATTACAAAAATAGTAGTAGTCTGAGGTAAAAAAAAAAAGAAAAGCAGACTTACGTCAGTCAGATACTTGAGAACCAAAGAGATCGTTATAGGGGTGAACTTTACCTTTCTGTGCCTGAATGACATGCTTAAAAGAATATCTTACTCTACAACATAAAGTATTGATACAGTTCATATTGTTGAGATTTGATATGATTATAAATAATATCCTTCCTGATTTTAGCATTTAATGTACAGATTGTATCAAATCAGCAGTTAGTAATTGATAGATGTACATTTGATTCTTTCCTTGTAAGTTGTAATTCTGAACCTTATAAATAAAGATCAGCTGAGAGTAGTTTCTCTCAAGCAAATTCATTCAAATCAGTAAATTCAAGTTGGTATCAGAGCCTGATCCTCACTTTCCCTAGTCGTCCCTGCAGCCAACCTTCATCGAGATTGGTCTGCCGGCACTAGGAATAGAAGTCCTAATCATTCCAGATTGTTCCCGAGTCAGTGTACGTCATGTCTCCTGCAGCAGTCAACTTTACCGGTAATTCTACAGCTTACCTTTCTCAATCAGGACCTGCCAAATCTTGGATCATAGATTCTGGTGCCTCTGATCACATTGCCGGTAATCCTTCTCTTTTCTCAAAGTTATCTCAACCTAAATCAGCACACCATGTCACACTTGCTGATGGTTCAAAAGTTAAAGCCATTGGCGTTGGACAGGCCACACTCCATCCTTCTTTATCTCTTAATTCTGTTCTTTTTATCCCTGGTTGTCCATTCAACTTGGTTTCTATCAGTCAACTGACACGTCGTCATAATTGTGTTGTCACCTTTATTGATAACTCTTTTTCTATACAAGACCGGAGTACGGGACAGACGATTGGAGCCGGATTTGAATCTCAGGGTCTATACTACTTTCACACTCCCCCTCCCTCTTCAGTTGCTTGCACTGCTATGGAGTCTCCTTCTTTGCTTCACCAACGTTTAGGTCATCCTAGTCTCAATAAACTGAGGAGAATGGTACCTCAAATCTCCAATTTACAGTCCTTAGCCTGTGAGTCATGTCAAATTGGTAAACATGTTAGAACCACTTTCCCAAAAAGTCATAGTCGTGCAGAATCTCCCTTTTATCTTGTTCACTCAGATGTTTGGGGTCCAAGTCGTGTCAGTTCTGTTTTAGGATTTCGGTACTTCGTTATCTTTGTTGATGATTTTTCAAGATGTACATGGCTTTATTTAATGAAAGAACGTTCAGAGTTATTTGGTATTTTCAAAAGTTTCTGCAATGAAATAAAAAATCAGTTTGATCATACCATTCGTGTTCTACGTAGTGATAATGCCAAGGAATATTTCTCAACAAATTTCAA